GTCCTACAGGCTGACAGGTCCTACAGGTCCTACAGGTCCTACAGGTCCTACAGGTCCTACAGGCTGACAGGTCCTACAGGCTGACAGGTCCTACAGGTCCTACAGGCTGACAGGTCCTACAGGTCCTACAGGGTGAGTAAAATGTCCTCTCTGGGTTGGAGGCCCAGGACAGGAAGTAGCTGTGTACCTGGTGAAGTACATGGTGGCGTCTGCTTCAGACTCGTGAGGTCTCAGAGCATCATAGACATATTTCAAATCATCCAGGTCAGATAGTTCAGGAATTCCACAGGACAACATCTGAACACACAGAGTCAAACGGGCTCTTCATTTAAAAAGTACTGTCAGTGCTTTATAAACAAATATATTAAAATAACCTGCAGAGTGTGTAACCTGCAGAGTGTGTAAACTTCAGAGTGTGTAACCTGCAGAGTGTGTAAAGTGCAGAGTGTGTAAACTGCAGAGTGTGTAAACTGCAGAGTGTGTAAACTGCAGAGTGTGTAAAGTGCAGCGTGTGTAACCTGCAGAGTGTGTAAAGTGTACAAGTGTGAAAGCAGGTGTGTGTGTGTGTGTGTTGTACGCACCAGGCCCAGCAGGTTTAGGAACAGGTGTGTGTGTTTGCGGATCATGTTGTACGCCTCGCAGCACAGATCCACAAAGTCATGGAATCTGCTGGATGGTTTGTCTCCTCCGTTGATGACGTAAGCCATGTCAGAGGTGAAGACGAAGGGGGCCCGGTCCCTGCGGGGCCACAGCAAACATCAACACTGATCAGGAGCAGAACACGGTTCTCAAACTAAATATTCATTAGACCGTCCTGGTGCAGAGGTAAATCTGATATCATCAGGGAACTTTAAGGTTAGGGTCCTCTTTTACATGTAACAACATTTTTCATAGTGATCATTAACCTGTTTGTCCACCATGTGGAGGCGGAGCTTATAAGGCTGAGTTGACCTGAACCTCTTCAGACTGAAGATATGAGACCTTTCATTAAAGAACAACATCCAGAGGACCTCCTCAACATTTGATGGATCAGACCGTGTTTTTCTCTTTAAACAGTACTGGTGAGGTCAGCAGCAGATATCAGTGACACAGCTGAGCAGCTTCTCACCGCTTGATGTTTCCGAACATCTGAGCGTGTCCCAGGAACTTCCCGAAGTCGATGTGGAACATGTGACCACTGGTCTTCAGCATGATGTTGTCATTGTGGCGGTCACAGATTCCCAGGATGTAGGTGGCCACACAGCAGCCGGCACAGGAGTAGATGAAGTTCTCCACCGCCTGACACACACACACACACACACACACACACACACACACACAC